ACTAGAAAAAAAGTGCTGATGTTCATTGCTGGGATGAATTCACTGTTGAGGGAGTGCTGCACCACCCTGTCCATCCTTAAAGTATTTCTTCGTGATGAAGAGATAACGACTCCTCAAGTGAATGCTAAAATAATGCCTTTTTGAGAACTCCTTTGCAGTGCCATGAAATGCCGCTCTGGCTCCATCCTTACAGCTTTTTTGCATCATCATCAGGTTGGATACCTGCCAATATGAAGATTTGGATACCTGCAGGTGAAGAACAAAAGCCTCAATCTAGAAATAAGCCCCCAGATACACCAGCAGTGGGTGAACTCAGCTTGCTTCAAAAATTCCTGGGGAAAGGAGCAATGAATTGAGCTCCTTGCTTTTTGCACAAGGGCATAAAACACTCTATTAGACTTTTATGGGATGCTGTGTGAAATACTGCAGCAGTGGAAGATGTTGAAGTTTTGCAGCCCAGTGGTGGCTTGTGGGATGGTCCATCCTTCCTCCACCCTTTCATCCATGCATCTATGCAGCTGTTCATCCATGCATCTTTACATCCATGTATTTGTTCATCCTTGCATCTGTGCATCATTGCCACCATTCATCCACACATGTATCATTTTTGGTCATGTACCTCTGACCATAATTGCAAACAAATTTCATTAGAAGCACCCAAGAATTTTTTTTTCACATAGAAAAAAAACACAAATCCAACTATTTTCCCCTTAGCATGGCCCAGCACTCAGCAGCTTTTTGCATCTGCCCCTAGAATGATGGGAAAATGTGCTTCTCCTCCCCAAAGGGTTTCAGTTTTGGGGACCACTGCAGCATAAGCCCCCTGAAACTGAGCTGTGAAAGCCAAGCAGGTCGTCTTTAAAAGCTTCTTCTGCAAACCCTTTCCCGTTATTCCCCCATCCGAGGATGGATCGAGGCAGCATCGGCAAATCTGAATAACTAATCAGAGTCCTCATTAACCCCCCGCCGAGATGCTCAAACATTCACTTTGCTGTTTGTGAAGCAGAAAAAAAAAAAGAAAAAGGAAGACACCCCCCCCCCCCCCCAACCCACCCTGCATTAAAATTGATGTGTTATTAATCCCACTGTTCCAGACCTCATGGGTACCAAATCTGCCGCGGTCTTGCCTGAGGCTGAGCAGTGTGGTGCTGCTTCCATGGGGCACTTTGACTTTCCATTATTTATCGGTGCAGCGTAGCGAAGCTGCTTTTGTTCCTTGGGTCCAGATGTGTTCACATGTGTGCATCCAGGGAAGGGGGGGAAGTGTCCGATGTTTCAATACGTGCTCCTTTTGGATAATGCAGATTGCCTGTAGCAGGGCTCCACCATCTCTCCTGGACCATGTTTTGCAGCAAAACTGCTTTGCTTTTCCAGGAATAGAGACATATTTTGTGTGTATGGGAATGTCTTCAATGTTTAAATAGAATTACAGAACCACAGATTCATTTGGGTTGAAAGGACCTTAAGACCATCCAGTTCCAGCCCCCCTCATATTAGACCATGTCACCCAAGGCTCTGTCCAACCTGCCCTTAAACACTGCCAGGGATGGGGCAGCCACAGCTTCTCTGGGCAACCTGTGCCAGTGCCTCAGCACCCTCACAAGGAAGAATTTCTCCCTTATATCTAACCTGAACTTCCCTTGTTCCAGTTTGAACCCATCACCCCTTGTCCTGTCATTACAGTCCCTGATGAAGAGTCCCTCTCCAGCATCCTTGTAGCCCCCTTCAGATACTGGAATGCTTTTCACCCTCTCTGAGCAAGAATGGGGTTAGTGCATCACTGGAGGGACTGGGGAGGTAGGAGGATGAAATTGCCATATTGTTTTTTGCACGTTTGAGCATGACCAATATCCACCTCCAGCCCTTACTCAGAGGCTGGAGATGCTACAGAAGCTGGGGAAATCCCAACAAGTCCAAGGTGCTTATTGCAACAGTCCTCATTGCAGATGGCAGGCGAAGTGCTTGGAGAGTCATGGTCATAGAATTATAGAATCAACCAGGTCTTTAAAGATCATGAAGTCCAACTGTTCCCCAGCACTGCCAAGGCAACCACTAACCCATGTCACTGGGGGCCTTGTGTACATGGTGTGTGAACACTTCCAGGGACGGTGCCTCCAGCAGTGCCCTGGGCAGTCTGTTCCAATGCCTGAGCACCCTTTGGGGAAGAAATCGTTCCTCATCTCCGTCTAAACCTGCCCTGGAATTCCTTAAAGAGTTAAACTGAAATATGGGCTTTCATTTCTGCATCTCTCCTGCTTTTCATGTGCACAGGGTTCCTTGGGTTGTCCCCATAGGTGTACAATTTGGGGCCACTGCAGCTTCCTCCTGGGTGTAGCATGGGGTATAAAGATAATTCAGCAAAACGTAGCAGTGTTACTGGGCATGTCACCATTTGTGGTTGCCACTGAAGGCAGAGGAGCTGACATTAAATTTGTTAAAGAATGATCACAATTAGACATTTATTGTGATGATGAGGTTGGAAATGTCATCTGCTCATGTTGGAAACAAGGTGACACGCTGGGAAAAGCCTTCTTGGTTTAAAATCCTAGCCCTTTTTCAAAAATCCTGGATTTAGTTTTGCTAAAAGCCAACTTTATTAGCATTCGCTTACACTTCATTAAATCTTTATTAACAGGGATGCCCTTGGCTTTTTGCAGTCTGGGTACAGGATGAGGTTCCTATCTGTGCTGTTGGGTGTTATTCAGGTCAAGTAGATGAGGATTTCAGGCATTTTGGGGGATTGATTAGGGCATTTGAGGGGTTTGATGTCTCATTTATGACTCTGGGGCAGCTGTTCCATGTAACCAGGAGTGCCTGGGACACCGTGTATCTTGCTGGCTTGCGTCGCCCACAGTGGAACATCTTGAAGAAGGCATCTCCTCCATTCTCTTTTGCATTGGGAGGACTTCAAAGGCCTCTGCTAAACTTCAAAGGATGCCTTTTGAAGTCGCTGGAAGTCTGTGCTGGCTCAAAAAGGCTTCTCTCCCTCTGCAAGAGTGTTCAGGGAGATGTCCCTGGTGGGGTTGGCTTGTGGTGCTCTTTGTGATGGGGACAAAAATGGCATCTTTTGTGCAAAAGCTGCACAAGCCTGTACTTTTGTCCTACATGCATGCGGCATCTAAGACCTCAGCCCTGATGACCTCCAAGGGGGAAAATCAGTGTACCAGAGTTGTTCTGGCACTGGCAGAGCCTTATTTATCTGTTCCTTTTCCCCCAGTACTGATGCTTTGCTCACACAGTGAGCCCAGATGGCTATAGTCTTTCCCACAGGATGGTAAAGTCTTTACAAAGGATTGCTGCAAATCATGAGTTTTTTCATCACGTTGTCAGGACAAATCCAGTGCAAATCAAATCCCAGGTCCTCAATGTGTGTTTGGTGTCAGCCTCTGCAAGATCCTCCAAGACATGAACCCATGAGTGTTTTTTATTCTTGATCATAAATATGTTTCATAGTTCAGCTGCTGTTGCAGTGGAAGAGTTCTGGACTCAAGCACCTCCTGAACATTTAGTGTAAACCCAGATTAGGTCTCTAAACCTCTTGGCAGGACCTATGCTCGCCCGAGAAGTCAAGAGGTACCTTGACCTTTTGTCCCTTTCATCAAGCTTTCCGTGTTTGGGGATTTCTGCCCTATTTTGCCTTGAAATCACCCACTTGCTTTCATCTCTCTCCTTGGGGAATGGCCTCAGGGATGTCCAGATTTCCAATAGTGGCTCTTCCTTTACAAGCTTCCTCATATACCTCTGCCTTTTGGACCCATACTTCTGGTTGCAATGGTGGACATGGGCTGGGAGGGCACCAAAATAGTGCTAGTGTTATTACTGCAAGTGGTTTGAGGTGGAATTAAAACCAGGAAAAATGGTTCTCATGGACCTCCCATAGACCCACAGGTGTAGCTCTCTGCAGGTGACATATAGGAGAGATGCATCCTTCAGGTATACCTTGGAGATCTGAGAAGCTCTCTGGAGGTGGTGTGTGTCATGGCAGATATATCGCATGTATGTTGAAGACCTGAGGAGCTCTCTGGAGGTGATGTATATCTGGAGGTGCATATATCAGATGTACATTCGAATCTGAGCAGCTCAGCAGATCATGTATATTTATATATACCAGACATATATAATCAATCTGAGGAGCTCTGTACAAGGTTACATATATCAAGGTAGATATATTGGATGTATATTGAATATCTGAGGAGCTCTCTAGAGGTGATGTATTCATGCTAGATGGATCAGATATATAAGGGAGATTTGAGATGCTCCAGACATGTGACATATATCAGGGATGTGTATGTCTGATGTATATTGGTGAGGTGCTGTCTAGAGGTGATTTGTATCAAAGTAGATGTATCAGATATATACTGAAGATCTGAGAGCACCACAGAGATTGTGTGAATCAAGGGACATATATCAGACATATCTTGGGGATCTGAGGAGTTCTCTACCAGGTGATGTATACCAAAGTAGATAGACATATATCAGAGATCTCAGGTGATGTTTATCACGTAATATAGAGGTAATATCTGTGGATGATGTATATGGAGGGAAGTTTATCAGATGGGTATTAGAGATCAGTGGGGCTTGCCAGATTTGATGTATATTCAGAGATGTGGGGAATTTGCTATCTTTCATTCATTTTTTTTCAGTCAAACACAAAACACCCCACAGCTGTGCTGATCCTTGCTCAGCCCATCTTCACTTTGACAGTGGATCTGCTTAAATCCCAACCTCAGCCTCTGTAAAGGCCAGATCCTTGGTAGAAGCATAATCACCTCTGACACCTCTGTGGACTTTTCCTTACTAAATAACAGCTGGGGGCTCCCTTGGTTTTGACTTAACTGGCTCTTCCCTAATTTGCACCATCTGAGCTCGAGTGTAAAAGCACATTTACACTCAAATGAAGATTGTCACTAACCAGGGGGATGGCAACAGCTGATGTGACCTCAGGGTACAGCCAACACCAATGCCGTTTCATTGCTTTTCCCTTTTTCTCTCCTTTTCAGACCCGGATTGTACCGATAACCCTCAGTGAGATCCTGTGCTGGGGATTCACCACCCCCCAGGAACAGAAAAGGACAGGACGGGACCACATCGCCCTTCATCCTTTGCGGATAGACCGCCCACAAGCACACCTCTGTTTTCTGGACCCATCTCGGTTCGACCTCTAAAAATCTAATTTATTAGTTATCCTTCCTTGGAGATGTTCAAAACTGCCCAGACAAAACCATGGGGTCTGATTTAGCTCAGCCATCAGCCCTGCTTTCACCTTCAAGGGGATATTGCCTCCTATGTTTTCCTTGATTCCCCCTGTTTTCCTCACTATCCTGCAAACAATGCATTGCCCACCATGGTTTTCCTGCCACTGCCAGAAGACCATCCCTAGTGCAGAAAGCTGCATCCTCTGCTTAAAATTTCACCTTCTCATTTCACCATTTCTCTCAATACTTACATATTCCATCCTTTGCTTTCCCAGGTTGTGATCCCTATCCAGAAGATCTCATTTTTTGGGTGGCAGGAACACACTTGCAGCTCCCTGAGCACCCCCGAAACGGTAAGAGTGCTTTGTTTTGTATGTATTTGGCAATTTTATATATAGAACCATAGAATCACAGAATCAACTAGGTTGGAAAAGAACTTTAGGATCTTCAAGTCCTCACCTTTACCCCATGACTTCCAAGGCCACCAAACCATGTCACTGAGGGCCTCATCTACATGTGTTTTGAACACTTCCAGGAACTGTGATTCCACCTCTTCTCTGGGAAGCCTCTTTTAATGCCTGACTAAAAGTAATTTAATATACTAATTGAGCGGGATGTGGTGAGTCCTGACCTCCCTGGGGCTTTATTTGGGGGAATTTATGCTCTTTTCTGGTACACCCAAATTATATCATGCCTTCCCTAGATGCACTAAGCATTTAGGGGGAGATTTATACTTTTTTTTGCTGTGTAGGGAGTCTTGATTTAAAGCTCAAGTGTTGATAACATGTTGTTAAGAGCCCTACAAGCCGTAGCCAGCCTGGAGGAAAACACAGATATATTTTTGTACAAATACCCTGAAATATGGGCTGTTATCACTGCAAACTTTTGGCACATCAGTAGGATGTGGAGAAATGGTCACCAGCTAAAAATAACTGAAACACAGAGCTTAAAATAAGATCTACATGAAACCAAGGGTCTCATAGTCCTTTACTCAACCCCAATGGCTAAAATTAGTGCCTGTCAGAGTGACAAATGTCTTCATCTGTGCCAAAACTGTAGGCACCCAGCAGGTGACAAAAGAAAATTAAACCCCATTGGCTGCAGCTTCCCTCCTAAAAGAGCAAAGAGAAATCCACCTTCAATATCCTGAATAAGTGCCTGACTTCTTCCTAAACTGGGAATACTTAGGGTGGGTGCATCTCGGGGGAAAACCCAAGAGCTCTGTTTGGTCTACAGTGCAGAAAAGCCTCAACAGCAAGATTATTGCAGGATTATTTCCCCCAGGCTGCCCTTTCAGCCCTGGTTCTTGCCTGTGATCTTCCCTTGGCCAAAACCCTCAAGATTAAGGATGTGATGAAGCAGCTTAATTTCTCATTAGGCTGATTTTGCCTCTTTCTACTAAAGGTAGAGGCAGGGTTCACTTTGAAAAGACTTCTCTGGTGGGTTTGTGGGGTTTTGGAGCCACCACAAGGACCTGTTATTGGGGAGATCCTGCCTGCCTTGATGCCCTCTTTTTGATCAATATTTTGATGTGAGCTCCCTGGTACATGCGTGGAAGGGCTTGTTGCTTCTGTGATGTACTTTGGTCATGTTGAGTTGTTCCCCTTGGGGGAAACTGGAGCCTGTGGAGAAAACGAGCACATGTCTGTGAAGGACACAAGCACAGCCTGGCTTGGGAATCATCTCCAGCAAGAAGATCAAACCCAACCCATTCAGCAAGTTGTACAAAGTCCAGACACCTCACACTAAAGGCGCAGAAAGATGTGATGATGGTAGTCCACCTAATCTCCTTCCGGAACAGAAGGCTGGTATTGCTCTGTGTGGTTAATATTAGAAATTATCCTGAAGAACTCTTCTAAGAAATAACCTGGTTCCTCTTGACATTTTCCACATTGTAAATGGATCCTCCCATTTTCTAGGCACAAAACTATTTCAGCTTTCCTCCTCCTGAAGTCCTTTTCTCCACAGAGATGCACCGTTGAGGCCAGGCTGTACCTTTTGTCCCTGGGAAGTTGCAAAAACATTTGGCACATTTGCCTCACCCCATAAACACTTCCCAGTCGTTTTTTGTCTCCAATTGCCTCATTGTGTTGAGTTAAGACAAGGCTGAACATATCTTAGGGTCTACCATTCAGAGTAAATGGAGAAGACAGTGTAATTAAGTGTAATTAAAGGAGCTCAGAACTATCTGTAACTCCCCAGCTTGATGGAGCTTGTATAAATCACTGTGTCACATCTCAAACCTCTCTTTTGTCATGCAAGCTGGAAATACAGCAAAAAAATTGCTTTCAAATGGGCAAATGAAAGATGTTTAAATTGAGGCAATTAATCTAGAGGCTCACATCGCAATCTTTGGCTTCTTGGCTCAGGGCTTGGATGGGAACAACTCTCTGCCAATACCAGGAAGCCTGGCAAGCCTCAAGGAAAACCTTATTTTTGTCTTCTGGTTTGTAGAGTCATTTCTCCTTGGGAATTTTGCATTTTCAAAGGAAATTCAGGCATGAGGTAAGACCAGGAGGAGCCGGAGAGCTGCAAGAGAGGGATGTGAAGCGAAAACTCAGCAAGTCGAAAGCTCTGATTTATCTGCCATATGGGAAAGAGGAAAACAGCCGGCTCCAAAGGGAATTCTTTCCCTCTCCCAAAGGGAAAATTTGCAAGTGTGATAGCAGGATATAGCAAGAAACGAGGCAGATTTAAGGGAGGAGAGGGTTTTATTAGGTGTGCTGCAGCATTGCTCTGTTTTCTGGGCTTTCCCATGGGTGGGTAGAACTTTGCATGCTTCCATGCACATCTTGTCTGTGCTTCTGCAGTTGGGTTAGCCCAGTTTCTGTCAGCCCACCAAAACCCAGGCTTCCATTTAGACCAATCCCTTTGAGCCCACCCAAAACCAGGTTTCTGTTTGTGTTTACATAGCCAGTGACTTTTGCAGTGCTGGACATTGGCATGATGAAGCCTGTGAGCTTTAATCTGCAAAATAAACACCCCAAAAAGGCAGTGTTGCCCATGAAGTGTTTATGGGCTGCAGCAACGGCTGCAAAAAGTCATTGTGACGTTTGTGGTGTGATCTTTGCTGGAATCATCAATCTCAATGCCTACTTTGAGGTTGCAGGTGGGTTTTGCACATACTTAAGCTTCTTCTGCCAGTCCATCTCTCCAAAACTCATTGTGTTTATTTACTATCATTTTCTTTGTCCTTCAAGAAGCTTCTCTGAACCTGGCTGGGACCTTGGGGATGGGACCTTCCCATTGCAGGACTTCAAAGGGACTGAGATTTGGTGTTTAATGATAGAAATGTGGGTGCTCAGTGGTTCTTCTCTCATGGGATTAGGAGGTTGGGTTGGAAAATGGAAAGCACAAGGCAAGGTTTGAAAGGATCAGGCAAGATTTTGATCATAAATTATTCACAGCTCACTGCTTGCAGTGAATAACTGTTGGAAAATTAATGTTTTGCAATCCCTCTCAAGGCAATCAGAAACTTTTCCTGGACAAGAGGAAGTTTGCACATTTTTTAGGTTCCTCAGCTACGTTTCGCTTCAAAGCTTTCTGCTTTGCCCTCTGAAAAGATTCACATTTTGCTCTTCTGGGAACTTTTGTTGGGCCAGGGGCTGGTTTGCACAAAATGCAAGTATTTTCAGGTTACTTTGAAGAAGCTTCTTTGATGTTTCGCTGCACCAGTTTGTTTTGGAAGGTGCTTTAATGGTCTTCCTCTATAAAAATAACACTGTATGTAGTAGGTATTTCAGCTCTCCACTTAAAGAACAAAGTTGTTTAATGCTGCTGTTCAAGGTACATTAACCTTGTCTACTAAAGCTCTGACTGGCTCTTGCAGGTTTTATTCTCCTGTTTATGTTGCAGAGATATCCCTGGAGCCTTTTAGGGATGGGGATCTTCGGAGAGAAGAGAAATATTTAGTGGTAATTGTTGTTCTCATAAGACATTTTCAGTAGCAGGTCCCCTCTTTCTCTGGAGCTAAAGCTGGGAGGACAATTTTAAAATATTAAATTAACAAATGCAGATGTTAATGAAATAAATACTGTTTTCACCCTGCACCCAAAGGAGATGTTTATGCATTGACCAAGGGCTTTTTTAGGAGAAAAAGTAGGAAAGAGGGTTGCTCTGATAACTTGATAGCTGGATGCTGGGAAGGGTTCAATGATCAGCATTTAGGCAACCAGCATCTTGGGTGAGAGCAAAGGATGCTCCCAATGCAAAAAAACCTCCTGGGTTTGGATAGAGGAAATTTGGGTACCAAATATTCCTAAAACCGATTAATAATATTTGGTGGTATGGTGGTATTTCTTGCACAGGGACTCTTGGAATCCTCAGATGAGGCATCACATGAGCCTGCTTGGAAGCAACCTTAACCATGAGGCATGGCCAAGAATGGGTGATGTCTTGAAATCTGGGATTCTTCCCCATTTTCAACCATTTGACAGCATTTATTTTATTTTTCATGAGGTGGTGGCATAACAGGGTTATAGCTTATGAGAACCTGGGGGTCATCTTTCAGCCTCACAGGTGAATTTAAGTGAAAATAAGCAAAAGTTTGAAGGTTGCTGAATGGAAATGAGACTTTCAAGAGCAAGAGGGTTGCTCTTAATTCACTTTATGGCTAGTGAAGACTTAGCATCACCCACCAAGGGTGAACCTGTCCTCGCTGGTTGTTCAGACCAAGATGTATGGTCCTCTGGAGGTGCCCATCCTTTCCCCCTCAGCTATATTTCTTCATTTCAACTTAGATGAATATATATCATAAATGCCAGCATGCAAAAGCCTCTGTGAAGAGCCCACTGAGGAGGGAGCATGGCTAACACGGCGTCAGTGCAAATCCCAAAGCATCCTCTCTTCAAAATACCTTTTATAAAAGGCAGAATTCCCTTAACAGAGACAAGTACCTTCCCATGGGTGGAAGACATCCTCAAGTATCTCTAATAACTTTGAAACTTTGGGTAGAGAAGAGGAAATGCCTGAAAAGCTGATTTTCTGATTTCTCATGTTGAGTCCTCTGTTATCAATTGCATGTTTTGCTGCAGGGAAGGAGCTGCTGAATGAGCTAGAAAAAATGATCCCCATTGATTTAGAAACAAGAATTGCACCTTGCAAAGCTAATATTAGTATCTGCTAAAAATGACAATGTGGAGTCCAACAATGTGGGGTTTTCTGCATTGAGCCCCTACTTCTAATATGGTTTTTCAGCTGTTTTATGAATCAAGGAGGTCACATTCACCTGGGGTGTTGTGGACTTGGATTTTTGGAATGTTTTAAGGCATCAGTGACCATGCTATAAAAACCCCCAACTCTCAACTTAGTCTTTAATTATTTTTATTTGAAAGAACATGTAATATATTGCTGGCAAAAAGAAGCACAGCTGATAAATCTGAGACTCTTTCAGGTAGACACATACTCTTCCGGAAATATATTTCCAACTTAATGGCAATATTTCAGTGATAGGTGAAATAATTTTATTTCATAAGGAAATTTAGGATACTTTGATCTCAGGTCGCTGCCAAAACTGCTTCCGGAAATGAGAGAGCCTTTACGGGCTTTATTGCTCACCATTTCTTTCCTCTGTGCAAACACCCTGGGAGTTGTATGAAATTCCTGTCCTTGGTGACCCCCAGTCCCCCAGATTTCACTCTTTGCCCAAGAGCTGATCACTGCCTCAAGCTGATCTGCAAGGGATTGGCAGGGGTTTGGTGATGCTTTTCTCCTTTCATCATCTGGATGCCTATGGTCAAGAGCTCATACAGCTAAATTGATTTAAGGGGGGGTGGGGGGGGAGAGTGGAAAGAAATAGAGCATTAATGCATAAAATATATATAAAAATAAGAAAGAATTAATGCATAAAATAGCAGCTTTAGACCCTTCCATGCATTCGGCTGGTGATAAATCCACGGGGCTGACAGCTTTGCACTGTTATCCGGAGATTCATGGCCAGGGGCTCCCACGTGAAATACCCGTCCGGCTTTTCCTGCGGGTACCAGGCACTTCCCAGGATATTTATGGTACCCAAGTGCATTTGTTTCCCCCCAAATAAATATACTGCTATTGGCAACAGCTGTCTCTCATTTTATCCCTTTTTTCCCTTACATTTTGCTATAAGTCCCGTTCTCTAAACAATTCAACGCCCATAAAGGCTTGATTGTAGCAGCTCAGATGATATTTGGCAATTAAATCGGGCTCTGGACTGCCACCTTCTGGGAATATATTTGACCAAAAAGCTCACACCCCACAATAAATTGCCGTGTGCTAAAGGTAGGCTCAATCCTGGCACGAACAATAGATAGCAAGCAGGACTTTTTGTTCCCCAAAATAGCAATGCCTTATTTTTCTCAGCTTCCCACTGAGATGTCTAGACCGCTGCAGTGCTGAATTCTGCTTTTCTCCAGCTGCAGCTGTTTCTGATGGGGAGGTTTTCCCCTTGGTGTTCCCCCTTGAGGACGTGCCTGTAGCTGTGAGCCAAGTTTTGACATTGGACACCAAACGCTGTACTCCACAAGTTCACTCAGGAGCGGATAATTTTGCTTCCTGCTATTTTGCTGTTGGGGAAATAACAAAAATCATTATTTTAATCACATTGATGCAATATCTTGTGCATTCAGTCACCATGGGGTTGATCAATGCAACATAGGCATCAGCTAGGTTGGTCAACTCATATTCGCTGTCCCTTTTCGATTGAGCGCTCAGTGCTTGAAGATGTGACTCCATGGTGGCCAAGGCAAAGAGATGTGGAATTTGGATGAGGTTTTTGATGTGTAATTTCAGAAAATGGAAAATTTTGCATTTATGACTTGTCTTCCTACTTCCAGAAAGGAGGAATAACTGGAAAAGGGATGGAAATCCCCATTTAAGCACTGCTGTTATAGGCGTAAGGGGTATAAAGAAAATGCCCTGGGTGCACCAGGGTTCACAGGGGGGAAAATATAATATGATGTTTACTGATCATCTCAATCACAATCACATCCATCATGCGTCCATGCAGCCATCATCTCCAAGAGCCCTTGCCTGGCTGCTCTCCAGCTAAGATCTCCTTGCCAGTGACCCTCTTTGTTTCATCCTCGAGGCATTCCTTATCCAAAACCACAAATCTCTAACAATCATCAAATTATGATAACAGTCATAGAAGAACCTAGAAGAAGGGTTTCTTCTAGGGACTGGGTGGTGTGAGGAGCATCACTTCTCCTTTCTATCCTTTTGATTTTTCCTTTTCAGGGGAGATCCCCCTTAATCCAGCAGCATTTCTCCTGCCTGCAGGTTCTCGATGTGACTCCCACCCAGGATGCACCATGTCTCCCCGGCACCGGCTCTGACGATGATGGCCACCCAGACAGTGCCCCCTCCTCCCTACCAAGACACCCCACAGGTGAGTGTCCCTGAGCACCCATGGTCTCCTGCAGACCCCTAGTGACCCCCAACTCCTGCAGTTATTACCGCCCCTTCCTAATAATAACCATGACAAAGTATTTCACCCCAAAATGTCCATTTCAGAGTGGCAAAAATTAAAAGCCCTCCAACACAGTCTCTAAAATTGAAGGTGTTTTGGTCAAACTGTATGTTTTTTTTTTGCCCATTTCTGGCTTATTTTGGGGTCTTGGGGTCTTCTTGCAAAAACCTGGATTGAGCGCTGAATCGCCACCCCATTCAAAACAGCTTTTTGGGTAGGTCCTATGGGAAATGTTGAATTTCCCCCCCATTTTCTACATAGCAGCAAAAGCTCCAAAATCTCCCCTCTTAGGAAATAAACCATCAAAATCAAGCCTGTTCTCTGCAAGCTAAAATAAATAAATTGACTTTTACATCCCCCTGGGTCTCCTTTCCGCTCGTCTCCTTTGGTGGGAAAAGGTCACTTCTCACAAACGACACCTCGGTGGGGTTTTTATGGCTCCTCCAACTTTGGTGTCATCATTTGCTCGCTTCACTGCTCTGCTCTGCTCTGAGAAGGGCTTTTTTTTCCCCAGTGTTTTTCTCTTCTCCGTGTCGAAACACGCAGCGGGGAGCCACGACGCCAGTTTAGTCCTAATGGGCAATTTAAAGGACTAAAATAGCTGAGATTTTCCGCAGCATCCTATGGAGACATCCCCTCTACTTTCCTCATCCCTACCCCTTATCTGCCCCTCTTTCTAATACATTGAATTTTGGGGACTCTCAGGAGCATCGTGAACTAAATCCTTCCTTCCCCCCCCCCCCCGTCTTGGGGGTTGCTCAAGTGTTTTTCTTTCAGTTTAAGTGGGTTTGGAGGAAAAGCTGCAGCCAAGAGTTGCTGGTTTTGATTCAACGCTGTCACTGCTGTGAGCCTTTTGCATGAAAATTTGGGTTTTCTAGGGTTTGGAAAAGCAAATTGCATGGATTTCCTCTCCCCAACAATGGGGAAGAGATGGGGAGGGTCAGCCATAAATAACCCCCCCCAATTATTAGAGCTGCAGCCAACTTCTTGTTATCAAGGGGAGAGTTTTGGGAAGTGCTTAAAAAAGGGGTTTGGGAGAGCTTTGTGTTGGTATTTTACTACAGAGGCTGTGCAAGTAATGTCCCTCACTGTCAGAAATGTGCAAAAATGAAGCAGAAATTAAGGGAAAAGCTGCCTCTTGGAAGGAAAATAATGCTTTAATAATATCACCTGGTTCTGCTAACAGAGGGGTAACACAGAGCATCATTTATACTGAGCATGATTGCGCTCACTGCATAACTCCACCAGTTGAAAATTAAAGAATCTGCATAAAATCCACATATTTTCCATGATAAATGAATAGGAAAAAACTAAAAGTCTCAAGCTATTTCATTATCAGAGTTAGCAAAAAGAGGTTGACCTAAAAATAGGCATTTTCAGCATGGAAGGTGATGAAAGCAGATCTGCTCTCCCCAAAAAAAGGGTGTTTTAGGTGGTTACATCAGGGTCAAAAGTGGAAAATACAAAAAAAAAGAAAAAAAAAATTTACTTTTTTACTTATTCTATAAACGTACTTATAAGAATTGGATGGAAATGTTGACTTTTCAGCAGTTTCAACACGGAAAGTGTTAAAACCAGCTTTGCACTCCCCCCAGTGTGCTTTTCAGGGACAAAAATGGATATAAAAATGATATAAATATAGAATTTCCTTTCTAATTATAAAAAATATTGTTTCCAGAAAAGCCACAAATGAAAACTGGGCTGGAGGTACTGATTTTTCTGTAGGATCCATCAAACCCTCCCCCCTTCCAACTCCTGGTGTCCTCAGAATGTTTTTGGGGTCAGATCCACTGTTTTCAGCATGTGTGATGAAATTTTCACCCTGAAATGCTAAGGAATAGGTTAAATATTGCTGACTGAGGAGGTTTTCTTGCCCTGAAGACCTTGACTGTCATTGCTCTGTAGACGTACAGAGTCCATAGTCTTCAACTTCAAAAGAAATCCTAAAGCAAGAGGGATTATCACATTTAAACCTGCAGGAAGCCCCCACATCACCTGGTGAGGAGCTGCTAACACCAGTAAAGGATTTTCTTCCTGAAGAAGGGTAAAAACAGGAATATAATATAATATAGGTCAGGCTTTAAAACTGACAAGCCGAGAACATTGGGGCTGTTCAGCCTGGAGAAGAGAAGCTGCGTGAATACCTCAGAGCAGCTTCCAGTGTCTGAAGGGGGCTACAAGGATGCTGGAAAGAGGCCCTCATTCAGGGACTGTAGTGATAGGACAAGGGGTGATGGGTTCAAATAATCATCTTCATCCTCATCCTCATCATCACCATCAGACCCCCATCTGTGTTTTTTTTCCAACGCCTGCAACTTTCCTACCCAAATCCAGCCCCTTTTCCCCTATATTTCCCTATTTTCCCACTGCCAAAACATACACGCTCCCGAGCCAGAAGCCTGCTGCCTTTTTCCTGCTTTCCCTTCCCCACCTGCTCCCTGTAAAGCCATTTTTGGCTGCATTTTTGCCTCCCTCCCTGCCCAGCATCCCTATCTGGCTGCAAATACTCACATCCAAGTATCTTCTCACCTAATTTTCCACTGACTTGGGATTATTTTATTTATTTTTTATTATTTTCTTTAGCCCAAGGTGAGGTAATGGCTTTGAAACAGCCGCAGAGGAGGCTTATTTTTTTTTGGGTAATAGCCCAATTAGTTGCAGACTTGGCTGGAATCGGCCAACTTGGCAGGATTTGGGGGCAGGATGCAAAAAAGAGCTTTGGCATCCTGAGTGTGTCAAGGGGAAAAAGAATAAAAAAGGAAAAAAAAGAGGGGGGAAAAGCCATTTCTCCCCTAGGAAAAGTTGTTTTAAAGGAAAATAATAGGGAGAAAAAAAGGGGAAAAAAGAGAAAGAGGATGGAGAAATACTCAATGACATGGGTGGAGGATCTCAAAATCCACTTGCAATTTGGTTTATTTAGAAAATGGGTGGAAAAAAAGAGAAATCCAAAGTGATGGAGTAGGAATGGGAAGCGAACCACAGATTTTCGTTGGGGAAGGGAATAGGGATGGAAACCAAACCTGTTTCTGGGTTGGGAGAGTTAGGAATTGAATAGTGCAGGGTGAATTTGCAGGTGCAGGAGGCAAACTTTGCCGTTATGAACAATAAAAGAGATTAAAACTCAAAAGCGCTGTTATCGGCAGTGAAAGGTCAGGCAGGAGATATTAAAGTCAAACATTTTGAAAGCAAAAGGTGTCGAGGTGCTGGCCCAGCCTGGGTTTACACAGCTTGTAAGGGAGGGAGAAGTCTGCTTTATCATGGCAAGAACCTGAGTAGCAGGGTGGATTTGGCTGGAGAAGGCTCTGGGTGTACACATATATACATGTATTTATATAGGCGTGTATAATATTTATCATATATATAATATGCAATATATAATATATAATATATATGTACATGTATGTAGTATATACATACATACAATAATGTACATATCTAATATATACATATATGTAAATATATGTGTATATAAATATAACCTGCCATTTTATTTTCATATAAGTAATCACAGACATTAGTCTAGAAGTATACCAGCCAAATAAATACATAATATCATTTATTTGTATAAAACTAAACACAAAAATGAATATGGGGGGATTGGAACTAGATGATCTTAAGATCCTTTCCAACCCTTACTGTTCTATGATTCTGTGATCTATTAGCCAAAGATATATATACAATATTCAGCAAGAAGCAGAGGCTTCCTTTTGCTGCCCAGCTCAGATTTACCAGTGAAAACAGGCAAATGCTAAATACTTTACAGCATTTTGACATCAAAAGCGGGTGAAACACCCTCTTTCCATTAATTTTTCACTGAGATTTTAAGCTAAACCCACTGGATGGGGGGTGGGGGGGTGTACGAGCCTAAATCAATTAAATTTCTCCCTGATTTTTTTTATTAACCAAGTCTTAGCAGTATAAAGCAATGCATCATACAGTGTTCATCAGACCCATCTGCAGCCCATCTGCAAATAATTCAGCTTTTTAAAATGCAATTGTTAATTTTAAGGGGAAATTGTCTCTAAATAGGTGCAAACCTGTACACCTGTGGGTAGGAGTTTTGAGGGGATACTGGAAGGAAGCACAGTGATTTGCACGTGCACTACTACCATGCGCACTGCTCGCATCTTAAATGCAGGTGTTTAACTAAAATACTTGCAATTTCTCAAAAACCAAAATGTTAGTTAGAAAAATGATTTATTACAAAGCAAATGTAATTTTGGCTGGACAGACTGCAGTTCCCCTTGCATCAGTGATCTGGGGCAGCACTGGGTAAAGACCAAGATTTGGGCACAGGGAGGAAAAGAAAAGTTGAATTTTGGTTTTGGCTGGCTTCTCCCAGTGCAAAAATGACTCATTCTGAGTTGGAAGAGGCTCACGTAATTTTGTGTCTAGACAATAATACCTGCTTTGAAAAAACCTTGGCAAGCAGCAGCCTTGCAGCTGATTTAATCTGGGACTTGTGCAAAGCATCCCTTAATAAATTACCCCCTGCCTCTGCTTTGCTGCTGCAATAAAGATGTTGGGTTTGGTTTGGTTTTTTTCCCTGTGTTTTCCCAAAGTACAAAACTGGGGGAAAAGTGGGAAAACCTAAGGCAACCTTAGATGGAATGCAAATGCATCCTGCTCAGAGTCCCATCGCGGCGCTACATCTCCCTAAACTTCACAAACTCGCCGCAGAAGGCTGCAAAACGCAGTGGCAAAGCACAGCAAACCCCGGGTTTACTTGATTTTCTCCCTTTTTAACCTCTCCTTTTCTTTCTCCCCTCCCAGATGACAGCCACAGCCCAGCAGCCCACCAAGGCTCAGCCCGTGCATCTCGCCACTCCAGCAGCAGCCCCTAACGCACCAGTATCTGCCGCGGCCGGCGACCCCCAGGCGCAGCTGGAGGCTGACAAGCGAGCTGTCTACAGGTGATGCGAGCTACCATCAGTGTGCATTCATTAATTAAGGCCTTAATTAATGCCTTATTTAATTAATGCACTCGTTGTAATGCATTATGAACGCGTCGATTCACCGATGCAGCAATCAATGCATCAGTTAATGCATCGATTCAGTGATGCTTCGGTGATGCATTTCATTTTTCTAATGCATTATTAATCCACTAATATTCTAGTGCATTAATTAACAGACAGGAATGGGGGGATTTGCAATTTGCTTCATTTTAGCAGTAGTAAATATTGATATTAACACTTGGTTAATGAGGTCCTGCATAGACATCATTTTGCAGCATCTCCCCCTATCTCCTGTCATGTTTTGCATCTTCCACCATCTCACACCCAAAGTATTCCTCCCACCCCCCCAAAAACTCAAATTAGACTGTTTTTTTCTAGCAAAACGGTGTGATTTTGGGCCGAAAAAGCACCCAGAAGTGGCAAAGTCACTTATTAACCTGAAATAGGAAGCTCATGCTTCCATATGGGTGCTGCAGCAATGGGTGCGGGATGTATGAACCCCTCTGGACCCCTTTTTTATGCCTTTGGAAATATTAATATAATATTGTAATATAATGTTATCATATAATTGCAATAAGTAACATTGTAATTATGTAAATAATATAATTATATAAGTAATATGTAATTATTAAAGCGATAGATAATTATTTACAGTATTACAATGTATACAGTAATGTATACTATAATTAGGATTAAGATTTAAGGTTAATGGCCAGGGCCAAAGGTGCTTGTGAATCAAAAAACTTCAAATATTCAGATATTACGAGTCTGAAAGGTCTGGAAAGATGGGAATAAACCCACTGGTTTCCCAGGAAAACACGAAGGATTATTGGGAGCAGGTCTTAAGATGTTTTGCTAATGATAGAAATAATTTTCTCAAGGCAAAAGAGGTCATTCAGGAAAAAACACCTTTTCTTTGCACGTCTGCAAAGATTTTTACAGTGTTCATGGGATGATGAAACAAAAAAAAAATCCCTTGGAGTTTTCCCAGCCTCAATTTGAACGTCAGAAAATGCTGGGAATAATTTGGACCTATTTCCCACCCAGAAAAGTAGGGAAATATGTTGGCTGGTGCCACGTGTGGACTTGGTTGCCCAAACCTGGATGCTGATTTTTGGCTATCAACTGAAAGTACCTCCCAGATATATTTTTATCTCTAAAGAACCCAATGAGGCCATGCAAAATCGGTATATTCACCTATACAGCAGTTAATGAGGATTGTGGATATGGAATTAAGTAGCAAAAGCAGGCAGGAATTCTGTTTTAGCCCTCCCAAAGCCATATCCTGAGCCTAAAATGATGATTTTTGTTAATTTTCAATAACTGCACCAAGGCAGAAGGCATCGGTCGATCAACCTGGAGGGAAATCACCAGGAAAATGCGATGGGAAATATAAAAAGAGCTGGGACAAGTCACCCTGCTGGGTGTTATGCTCTAGCGGGAGGTTTATCACCCATAAAAAGAGAGGAAAAAGGGAAAAAATCAAGCATCCCCCTCCCTGCTTGGTGCAGGAGCATCTTAGCAGGGACTGGTCCAGCAGCAGCACTTTTCTGCTGCAGTTTTCCCCAGCTGAAGTGTTTTCTTGACTTTATGCAACAAGCTGGCACTTCCCAATGGATTGTGGACAAGTTAAGTGGCTTCTTCTGTGGGAACCAATGCTTAAACCGCCCCAGCACTGCAAACTGGACTTTTCCAAGTGGGAAAGGGCTGAATTTCTTTTCATTAAGTTTATTTTCTATGTTTTTTTTTTAGGGGGGGAGGATAGATATATTGGAGCTGGGTAAAAATAAAGCCTGTTGTGATGTGCCCAAGCTGCCACCAGCTCAGGAGCAGAGCCCTGGTGAAGGTGGGAAATGAGGCCATTAGAGGAATTCATTTCTCTTTATTAGCCCATGTTGAATCCTTTTTATTACTGGCTGCAAACGACCTCTCTCCTGCGGAAAATGTCAGGGCTGGTTTGGCCCTTTTATCTGGAGGATTCCATGGGAAAACAAAAAATCCAACCCCCCTAAAAAAAGAAAAGAAAATGAAAAAAAAAAAACCACAAAAAAAATTTCAAAACCAACCAAAAAAAAAACACGAGGTCTTTTTTTGGAAAACCATCTTCATAGAATCACGGAATAGTTTGGGTTGGAAGGGACCTGCAAAGGTCATCCAGTCCAACCCCAAAAAGGAAAAAGGAGAAGCAAATTTTTTTCAGCAAAAGCAGATTTTTCGGCCCCAAAACTGTGCCATAGGGATGATTTTCCACCTCCAGAACCCCCCACGGTGGGGGAAATCCTCCTGGATACCTGTCTATTTTTCCTCACAAACTTCACAGCAAGGATGGGCTCCAACTGTTCATTTCCATGCCATAATCTCTGCCTGCAAAGCCCCATGGTGTCCCTTCCCTTCTCCTCCCTTCCCTTTATTCCTTTCTCATAATTTCTTTTCCTTTCCCTTCCTTTCTCTTCTTTTCTTTTATTTCTTTTTCTTTCCTTTTTATTTTATTTCCTACTGAAAACCAAACCATCTTCCCCTCGGCCACATGCCTCTTCCTGCTCCCTGCCAACATTCCAAGACATTCCTGGCAGTCCGTAGCAGCACTGCCCCAATAGTGAAGCGTGCAGGGTGATGCCAGCAACAGTCTTCATCCCCCCTTGGTCAATGCAACCCCTCCAAGCAAAGTGGCTAAAAATTGCTCTTGGGCTGCAATCACTCCCTTGTTAAAACCCCATCCTTGGGGTAATTCCAAGCCTTTGCTCCTAATTGGCTCTGGAAATGGCAGTGGGCACCTGCCACTGAGCCGCCAGTTCCTAAGTCCCAATAATTCCTCCCGCCGCCTGGAATTTGCCTTTCATATCCCTCGGCTGAGCCTCGGCAGGGCTGCCCAAAGTATGAAATTATTTCCTCCCTTCCCGTTCTCTGCTCCAGCCTCGGCAAACCTGGCATTAAACTGGGATCAGGACAGATTAAACTATAATATGCTGCGGTATTAGCGGCTGCAAATGAAGACTTAGCCAAGGGGTTTAACCCCTTCGCCTGACTCAGGCTCAGAAAAGACCAGTGGAAAGTGATTCAGAATCATCTTTTGGAGCACCTTTGGGAGATAAAACGGTGGAGAAATTCCCATTGCTCTGGGATAACTGGGGAAGAGCATCCCTGGAGAAGCATTTTGTATTTCTCCCCTGAAATACTCCATAAATAGTATTTTATTTTATTTTATTTTATTTTATTTTGTTTTGTTTTGTTTTGTTTTGTTTTGTTTTACTATAGTTTTGCACAGCTGGAGAGGCTTATTGAGGGTTGCTCCAGCTCCCGATCATCCTTGTGGCCTCCTCTGGACTTGCTTCAATAGCTCCATGTCCTTCTGATGTTGAGGACACCAGAAGTGCACACAGTGCTGCAAATGGGGTAGAGTCACCTCCTTCGACCTGCTGGTCAGGAGGTGATTCTGCATCCATTCAGCATCATCATTAGAGCAAATGTGGATTTTCCAGGACTGTAAGCTGGTTTTCTAATAATTAGACCAAATTGTGTATTTGCATGGAGAATTGCAAATCTTTGTTTTCTAACAGTCATCTTGTGGTAAAACAGAAATGGGATTTGGCCCGTCTTCATGGAGAGGCATGGATGTTCTCAGCAGAGATACAATGAGAGCTCTTGGTGGAGAAACAAACCATAGCAGGATCAGTCCATAGGATGCTGCGGGCATGTAGAAATGCCGGCTCATTCCCATCCAGCATCTCCAACCATTTTGGGGTAAAATATCACCATCAAGTGATATCTTGATATTATGATCAAGTGCTGGTGTTGATTCCCAAAAATTCAAAGCCACTGGGACAGCAGATGGTTCCAAGACAGCCATCCCAAAGCCAAAGCATTTTGGAAATGCCAGCTTTGGTGCAATGAATTAAAACACCAAAATGTAAGAGAGGTCATTGCCTGGTGGAGAAGATGGTGAATTTTGCAATATTTAGGCTTTGTATTGTTGTTGGAAAAGGTCAAGAGGGAGAAATTCCTGCATTGGCTTGGAAGTGAAGTTTGAACCACCCGGCTCTTGCAGGAGGCATGGGTAGATGGTGTGGTGTAAAAATGGGCTTGGAACCTAAACCAGTTTGCATTATGGGGGTTCTCCTTTGTCCTCTGCAGGCATCCACTGTTCCCACTGCTGACTCTGCTCTTTGAGAAGTGTGAGCAGGCGACGCAGGGCTCCGAGTGCATCACCTCGGCCAGCTTCGACGTCGACATTGAGAACTTCGTCCACCAGCAGGAGCAGGAGCACAAGCCCTTCTTCAGTGATGATCCTGAGCTGGACAACCTGGTAGAGGCAGCTGGGGCTTGGCAGATGGTTTTTGGGGGTCAGGGAGAAGGTAGGGGTGAAGATGAAGATCTGCCGCCTTGGGCAGTGTCTTTGGGCTCCATTTGCAGTGTTAGTGATCTTGTAATGTTCTCTATAGACCATGTGAGAGCTTCTCCAGGACCTTCTCTGAGAATTTTTCCATAAGTTCCCCATGGAGAACAAAATCCTGCCCTGTGGCTTGTTTTCCCAACAAATACTATGTGCTCAGCATGTGTTCTGGAAACAGCCAAGATAGATGGCTGGCTTGTGTCTCGAAATCTGCAATCTCTGCATCGTGCTCTTGTCTGGGACCTTCTTGTTTCAAGTGTAATGGACAGCTCTTGTCCTAGAAACAAAGCAAAATAAGAGCTTTACCCGAAAAGGGTGATGCATATCAATGGTTTGGGACACTCTGGGCTGGTTTTGGTGGCTTCCCTGTCATAGCAGCACAAATTTCATGCTGTGCCAATTGCTGCTGGAAAGTGCCTCAGAAGACTCTGCTTCGAATGGAGTTTTTCTCATGCATGGACCTCAGGAAACATCCCCAAATGCCATTATTTTATCCAAGAAGCCTCCTCATGTGGTCTCCAGGGCAAGCGTGTGGGTAGACAGGTCCATGGCACCAAGGTGGTGTACCCAGCAAGAACATTTTTAAGGTCAAAAGAGGTCACCAGTTCTGATGATGCAAAGAGCAGAACACCTTCCCTGGGGGTTTGTGTGTCCACTGGGCCATGTTTCAGAGGGATTTCCATCCCAGAAAAGGGGCAAAATCAGGCAATTCCCACACAGCTTTTTCTACCTATTACAGATATCAAGGGTGTGATGATGTTCTGTCAATGACCTGTCATGAAAGGGGAAAAAACAAACAATACTCCGAGTGCAAAACCTACCTGCCTCTTTCCTAAAAAGACCAGGAGACAGCTTCAAGATGGATTTAAATCCCCCATGGTTCGTGCCCAATTTCAGTTGTAGAAGAGAGTTTTGTGACATCCCTAAATCAAGAGTGGCTTAGCAGCCTGTGGAAAGCCCTCCAAAAAAATCCCAGGCCATGCAAAGCCCAGTTTGTACATTACTAAACCCATTTCGCATGTCTTACAGCCAAGAACAGAAATTGCTCTGGGACAAGCAACCAAAACAAGAGAATTTTTGAATTGTTTCACTTTGGCACTGAACATGCATCAAATGTTAAGGTGCACAAAAAAGCCCCTTTAAATGACATCAAAATGGGTGGAATGATCTAGGAAGAGGAGAGAGATGAAGCCAGCAGAAGCAGAAAAATCCCCAAATCCAAACCTTTTTGTGAGAAAAACCTGTTACTACACATAACATCTTCAGCAAATGGTCAGTGCAGGAGATGTGGCCACAGAGATTGTTTTCACTGGGTTTTTTGGTGGTTTCTTAAAAAGACCCCATACCAGTTATGGGTTTTTGGCATGTTTTGGAGCAGCTTTTGCTGCCGAGGTGGAATTTGGCCATTGGCAGTTGCGCTGATCCCATGTGTGACTGTGCAGCACTGGATATATTCATATTCATATATTTTCCCTATCTCTAGAACATGTTTGTATGTATATATTCTATCCAATGCCCAGAATGTCTCCAGAGGCCATTCAGATCACTTGGTGTGGTTGGCTTTCATCAAGACAGAGGATCTGGTTAAAGTGATGCTGAAGAAGGACCGTTCCTATTGGTGTTAAGCGCTAACTGGAGGGAATTTTGGGTGAAATACTCAAGACTCAACATTTCAATCTGCTTCTGAGCTGATGCTTTTTCCCTTTTTGCATTGTTTTTGCAGTTTTTTTGGTTATTTTGGGGGTGTTTTTTTCTTTTAATGCCACTGATTCCCCGGAAATCGGCAATGGCAAAGCAGGGATGAAAAGGCCAGCGGCATTAAGCTATCATTAGAATAAGAGTCATGTATTCCTCACCGCCGAGATGCACATAATTAGAAATTAGAAAAAGGTCAGATCTCACCATTATCAACTCAATCAGCTGCCGAGTGCCACACAGTCAATTAATTCAGCATCTGTATTTTTTACAACCCCGCGCACGTACGCCGTTGGACTGTAACTCTTTATCCGGACAGATATACGACGCAGCGGAGCAGGGACATAAAATGAGACCCTAAGCAAATGAGCTGCGATAATTGAGAGATTTATTTTTTATACATATATGTGTCAGGTCTTCTTGCCTTTGCCCTTGAATATTGACTTTCATGGCCATTGAGCCCTGGGAGGATGCAGAGACTTCGGCCATGACGCCTCCACCTTGTGCTTTGCCAGCACCAACTGCAGAGGAGATAAAAAAAGCAAGAAAAAGACCCCCCAAAAGAGGATTTTTCCGACTACAACCCATCATCCATGATGTTCCCTCACTAAAATTTCGCTTTCTCTGCCATGGAGCCACCACCCAGGTTTGGCACTGGATTTTTCGGGATGTTTCCCACCCATGGTGACTCGCAGTTTGTAAAGATGACCACTAAAATTTGCAAGTTAAAAACACCCTTTGAAATGCAAAGGCGCTTTGTTCCATAAAACCGCATTTATTGCCCCGGAGTGAATAGCTGAAATTTTATATATTATGCAAGATTTCAAACAGCAGCTGTAAAACTTAAGGTTTCAGCTCAGCAAGAGGAATGTTTTATGTGTAAATTTTTTAACGTTTATGGGGTACGTTTTAATGAGGCCCAGGCTTTGCACCAGCAACAGCTTACGGTGGAGTTGCAGCCCTATAATCTAGTTAGAAGAAGTGGCCTCCAGAGAAAAACCAAATGCTGTCGGACTTTTTTTGGGCATGGAGAGCAATTCCCGTGGAGGCAATGATAAATTTTGTGAATTTTTTCCTCTTGGGATATCAGAGGTGGAATTGATGGGAAGGGAAAAAGGAACGCAGAGGTGATGAAGGACGGGCTCTGGCAGTGGGGATTGGCATGAATATTGATTTTTTGGCTCTTTTTTTCTGGTGTGTTTAAAAGTAAAATATTTAATTCTGCCATGGGATTTTGGGTGAGAATATTGACTTGGGTGTTGGGTTTTTTTTCCCTATTCTTCAAGGTAAAAAACGATTTTAACTTTGCCATTGTGTGCCCTTGTGTAGATGGTGAAGGCCATTCAGGTCCTGCGCATCCACCTCCTGGAGCTGGAGAAGGTCAATGAGTTGTGCAAGGACTTCTGCAACCGCTACATCACCTGCCTCAAAACCAAGATGCACAGTGACAACCTACTCAGGAATGACCTGGGGGGGCCCTACTCCCCCAACCCCTCCTCCCTCAGCCTCCATCCCCAGGTAACACCTTAAGTATCGCCTGTACTCATCATCACTGCACATTGACCAATGGGCGAGTTGGGTCAATGAGGTTTGAGGGTTGCTCTACAACTCTTGTAGCCTCCTGGAAATTCATTAAAACTCATCCCCAGTTGACAGAAACAATGGAAAAAAGCCCCATGTCTTGCTCATATCATACAATAAATGATGCTATGGAGATCTTTGTGTCATTGCAAAAGAAAGAGATGAGGACTTTTCCTAAACTTATGTTGCAGCAATGAAATGTGCGTGGAGGGAGGAATTGCAGAAGCCATGCAAAGCACACAGGAAAATGGACCATAAATTTGCATTTTTTTCATGAAATATTACTCTTTGTTGGCAGGAGGGACAGAAACACCGTGATTTTCCCCACTACTTTCCCTTTCCCCATCCTTGTCAAGAAATTTCAAGGCACCTCAACAGGTTTTTGGGTCTCTTTTGGGCTTTGCTGCTCCTTGTTTTACCCTGGCACGCCTTGCAGTTTTCCCACAGCATGGTCAATTTTCCCACCTTGGCTGTTTTTTTGGCATGATTTGGGTTTTAGCTGGGAGAAGGAAACATTTGGTGCCTCAAGCACAGTGGGAGACTACAAGCAGATGCCTAGGTATTGCAGAAATATCAGCTGAAATGTCCAAACCAAGCTGCACCTTGGTGCTTTTTCTGTCAAAATAAGGAATTGTTACTTAATATTTGGATAAAAACCTGTTTCCCATACACTGGGGTTTTCATGTGCATTTGCAGTGCAGGGGATAAATGTTGGCTCGTTGCATCACAAAAAACTTCCCTGATGCAATATTGTGTATCTCTTGTGGATTTCTCTCAGACCTTCAGTTTTTTGAAGGAGGGAATGAAATCTGGGCTTGCATTATCCCACCAGAGATAATTGTGGCAACAGAAAATAACCCAGTTAGCTCTTGAGGTTCTCCCCAGGAATGAGGTAGTGATGCTGGCTTTTTAGGGCTTTTCTGGGTGTTTTTAAGGTGGTGGAAATACAAAAACAGAAGTCGTTTTTAACAGCAGGGCTCCAAGTACTGCTGTTTGAAGCTTCCAATATGACATTTGCAGCCCAGAACGAGGAAGCAGAAGCCCTCCAAAAAGTTTTATTTCTTATTTGGGTTTCCTGAAAGCACCAAACCACTTAATCATTGATCTACTCCCCCCTCCCTCCCCCATCCTGTCTGTATTTTCTAATAATCTCTAGAAATGGACTTATTATCCCTTTACCGCTTTATGGGAGCATTCCTTATGATCAAAATTAGCAAGACACTTGCATAAAAGAGAACAATAATTGCTCAACGAGCATCTCGCTTGTAATTTATTAGTTTCTATTATTGTGCATTGCCATGGCAACGGCTCGCATCCCGGGTGATGAGAGAGATGTTAGATAGGAGCCGACGAAGCTCCCGGTCCCAGCAAATGGAGATGCACGGTTTTTATCAGTAATTTTCATGGAAATAATAAGTGAGGGAGTTAATGAGATGGAAAAGCCGTCCTGTGGCTATTGTGATCCCCCCCCCCCCCCCCCCAATCTTTTTTCTTTCTAATTTTTAAAGTGTTGATCTAATTAGAATGCATCGGTCAGGACAAGTAATGAGGATTTAGTGCCTCACAAAGAGGTGGGGATCCTATCAGAAAATTAGCACAAGTCTTTGGAAAATAAGAAGGCCAACAGAGAGGTACCAAGAGCCTCTGATTCCTACAAACCCAGAGCTGCTGAATGTTTCCCTTCTGGGGAAGACTTGAAAGTTGGAGAAATTCAAGTGAGGATTTGGAAGCAGTTGTTAAATAAATAGGAATGCACCCAGAAAAGACCCAACTGGAGAGGAAACGCTTGCTCAGTGATGAAGGGATTTTCAGCAGGCAATGGGAGCTGAAACACTTTGATAGAGCAGAAGTAGCCACCATCTCATCTGCTCATTGGATGAGGACATAAGAAGGACATGGAGCTGTTGGAGCAAGACCATAAGAGGCCATGAGGATGATCAGGGGCTGGAGCACCTCCTGTGTGAAGATAGGCTGAGAAAATTAGGGCTGTTCAGCTGCACTAACCAATGACAAGTGCCTGAGTGCTTCAGCTCATAGAGTACCCTTGAGTTTGCATGGAAAACGATAAAAACCCAAAAGCTGGAAATACTCAATAACCATCAGTTGAGTTTTAAGGGCTGGAGATGCTCCGGAGAGCTGAAGAATCATGCGACCAGTGGTTAAAAAATGGCAAGTGAGATGATTTTGCTAATGATTGTCCCATTCAGCTCATGCTGAGGGCAGGTGAAACAGTTAACGGGCAACTAATTTAGAGATTTAAAGAAAAATAAATCTGAAAAATGTAAATATAATTCATATCAATGACTGAGGTTTCTCAGAAAAAAGGTTCTCTCAGGGCATCGATCCTTTTGCGAGGAGAACTAGCAGGTTGGTCGTGGAAGCGAAACATTTCAGTTTTTTGCAGTGTCTTATCAATGGACACCCTCCTTTAAAAATTCTGGATGCAAAATAGCAAGGATATCAACTAAAACTGGGAAAACAACATCTGGAGCTGTCAAAATGTCATCACGGGAGAATCGCGGTTGGATTTCCCTGGTGTATCCCTACAGGATGGTCCTTGGCTTGGTGGTGTTTATGCTTTCTAAGATGGAAAATGCAAGAATTTCTGGAAATGCAAGAAAGCCTGGTGGGGTTGGAAAGATGAGGGAGCACCCAGTTGGGTGTTCCAACTGTTTCTGAAATCTGTTGCCAAGTCTAGAGATGACTCTTGGTGTTGGCCAAGTTTGGGTGAAACATTAGGGGTTTTCCTCTGTGATGATCCTTCCCTAAACCTTCATTACCTTACAGGCAATTTTCTATTTTATCCATTGATTTTTGGCTTTGGTTTGGTTTGTGGAGGAGTTTCTGACTGTCTGGGCTGAACCCAGGACACTGGCCTGCAGGTCCACCAAGCAGTTCCCCTTCTTCCATTTTTCTTGGTTGTTTTTCACTGGGCTTCATGTGAAAACCTTGAGTCCTTATCAGACCAAACCCTTTTTAACCCCCTCCCTTCATTTAATGAATATTTTTGTGGGTTTTCAGATAGGGATGGGAGAGTGGAGGTGCCTGTGGAGGAGGGAAAAAAAGCCAATTTAACCCAAAGCTTAAAGTAAATCAGTTTGACTTCCCTTCAACATCAAAGTGGTCTTCACTGCTCTCCAGTTGACTTCACCTGCAAGAAAAAGAAACTCTTCATAGCCAATCAAATTGGGAATCAGAGCACTGCCAGGGATGTTTAAATTGGGTTAAATCTTGCATTTTCCAGCTCTTGTTTCAAGTGAGAATTGCAGCAGATTGGCAGTGGTTTAATGGTCATATTCAGGACAGCACTTCTTCTCAAATTCCTTCTCCATCTTTTTCTTCATTAAAATGACTTTTAGTTGGGAGAAATAGAGCTGTGGAAGGTCAGTGCTGAGATGTGGATCTGCAGAGACACCTAGAGATGCTTTTTTTATACTCAAGTTTCAACTTCTTATGAGTCCTAAAATATAAAATACTTTCCACTGCAGCAAAATCACAAGTTAATATCATTTGGCTGGCATTTGCTATCCAAGCAATTAGTACGCAAAATATAGATTTAAATCTTCTTGGAGATATCTATATTTATTTTAAGACAGAGCCTCCACTTCCTTTGGGTACCCTTGGTTTCACATTGGCATTGCGGTAACACCATGAATTCCTTTTTTGGACATGACCAAGCTAGTGTTTTGGGACAGTTTTCCTCTATAACACCAAAAAACCCCCAATTTTTGTCATACAGTGCTGTTAGAAATGAGTTTGACCACTGCGTCTGGAAAGAGCAGGTTCTTGTTCCCATTTTTTGATATCCTGCATTGTTTCTTCCCAGTGCACTTAGAAGCATGAAATCAGCCAGGTTGGAAAAGACCTTCAAGATCATCAAGTCCAACCTTTACCCCAGCACTGCCAAGGCCACCACTAAACCATGTCACTAAGGGCGTAGTCTACACGGTGTGTGAACACTTGCAGGGGCAGTGATCCCATCACTTCCCTTGGCAGCCTGTTCCAATGCCTGAGCACCCTTTGAGGAAGGAATTATTCCTAATCTCCAGTCTAAAATGTTCTGGATACCCTTTGTTTGGAGGAATCATGGAAAAACACAGCAGGAGAGGAAAGCCAAACCAAAACCAGTTTTTCCCCAAAAAGGTTAGAGACGGGGAAGGGATATTAAAAAAAAAAAAAAGCATAAGTATTTTATGTTTTTTGCATTTTTTAAATTAATTTAGTGATGAAAAGGAACGTGTGGGAGGCAAAGCAGAAATTCACAGCAATTGCAGCAAAATTTCCACATAAGTAACATTGGGATCGTCAATGGAGAGGACAAAAATACCATGTGGCAGAGGTCTCAGATGCAATGGTTTGGGCTCGACATTAAGGGAGGGGAAAACACAGGAAGGGGTTTTAATGGCAAAAGTCTTGAATATGAAGAAATGTCTCAAAATGAAGGGAAATTGGATAAAAAAGTGGAAAAAAAAAAACCTTTTACTGCATTTTACTCAGTAGTTGAAGGCCACCTGGACACCAGGGAGGTGATGCAGAATGGGAAAATGGGTAGAAAAAAGGAAGGAAAGTATTTTTATTGCAAGAAATGAGTGCAGTTTTCACTCCAGCTGGGTGAATTACAGATAAATGGGGGCTTATTTTGAAATGATAATTTCATAAATCTTTTTTGCTAATTCCTGCCCATCTGGGAGGTTGTGGTACATCACCCTCTATTCTCACCACACTCAATTGCAGCACCCTTCCCAAAATGTTGCATTCAGTACTCAGATAATCATTCCATTTGGTCTCTTTCCAATTGCTGCTTGAATGCAAGAGCTGCTCCAGAGCTGGGGCTGGAAATGAGGTTACAGCTTTTGGCTTTAAAAATGCCCTTTTTTTGCAAAAAGTTAGCTTAAAGCTGCAAGGAATGATATCAAATGGGGTTATGTAGTTATTAATGTATTAACGTAAAGCTGAAACAATGGTGCTTGACCTGGCTTTTAGACAATGCTGCATCAGACAGTTCCAGTGAAAACATCCCAAAACTATATAGAAAGAAGAAGCCTGAAGAAATTCCTTCTTGTCTGTCATGCACCTTTTTCCTAATGGGAATGCATAAAGAAGACAAGTTTGGGGAAGTCACTTTGCAAAGTGTAAATCCTCATTTTTCATCTTCTTTTGCAGTTGCAGCAAAATGAAGAACTCCTTTTCCTGCTGTTTTGCTCAAAGCAACAGGATGAATTTACTGGGGGGGGGGGGGGGGGATGGGGCAGGTATATTAACCCTGTGCATGGCTTTGTGCATTAAAATCAATGCTTTTAATGGTTTTTCCCTCAGGAGATGTTGCAGAGCTCGCCCGCAGCCCTGCCACCCACATCCAACCCTCCGCCGGGCATCGTGGTGCCAGCAGCCACACTCCCACCGGGCAACTTGGCCATGAGCACTGGCAGCAGCTCGCCGGCTGTGCCAGGTAGGGACCACACAGGAGTCTGGTGGGAGCAAAGGGGAGAAGTTTGGGGGTTTTGGGACCCCCACGAGCCTTTTTGTCCCTAGGTGGAGCCTTGTACCAGCCTGTGACAATGGTGACGTCACAGGGTCAGGTCCTTGCCCAAGCCATCGCCCCTGGTGCCCTGCAGCTCCCCAACGCCCAGGTAAGACCTTCCCACCTCACATTCCCACTTTACACAGCATTTTGCACAGCTGCAGCAAGCGAAAAACCCATTTCTCAAGGAATTAAACTCATGGGAGTATCCTAAATTTTGAATTAGCAGGAAACATTGATTAAACCCAGGTACCTTGGGGGTACCTGAGGAACTAGAGCAAAGACCTAACAAATTACAGCAATGTTTATATTTCTATGTTACATAGGATATTATATTCTATACACTAGGCACTGCATACTATGTAATATAGTATGACATATCACACATGATATATGACATATGGTATATGATATATGAGATATCATATCTCATGCATCATATATAAGATGATAAACGATATATGACATATGACAGACATATGTGATAGATATTATATCTATGATATCTGAAATATGTGATCTATGATGTCTGATACATGATATATCTGATAAGATACGATATGGAATCATAGAGTAGTTTGGGTTGGAAAGGACCTTAAGATCATGTAGTTCCAACCCACCTGCCATGGGCAGGGACACCATACACTAAACCATGTCACACCCTCTAAACCGTTGCTACTGCATTATGGATCTGGGATTGCCTGTCCAGTGCAGCAGTTGCAGCACTCATGGGACGGAGTCATTTTTTAACTTGCTTTATGGATTTTGGCATATTGTTTTAGCCATTTGCTCTGGTTTTACTCCTTTTTTCTGTCGTTGCAATGAATTACATGGGGTTTGTCTGTGGATGCATCTTGCAATAAGGTGACAATTTGGTCTAGAAAAGGATTTATAAGGACAACTTGCTATCTCTGTTGGCTGCATTGCACATGAACTCTTCCAAACCCCCATTCCCTAGGAATTTGGGCAAGAAACCATCATTTTCTGCTACTCTGCTTCACAGAGCAGGTCAGCAAAACTTCCCCTGTGCATGTTGGGAATGGGTGGCACCTCGCTGGCAGGTTTTATTGCCTGTGCACTGCTTCTTAAAACTTCTTCCTTTAATACCTTTCCATTGAGGGCTTAAATCTTGCAGCAAAACCCTCCATGGTGGGAAAAACATGTGCACAGGGAATATTGGGGCAGGGAGGAAGCCCCAGACAAGCACCTCCGGATGCTCTTTCTGTGCCACCAGCATGATTTATTCAGCTGGAACCCATGGGAGTTGCAGGGACCTGCTGGCCTGATGTTTAATTCATCCAGCAGAAAGGGTTTGATGAAGAGCTGGGGAAAATAAAGAGTAAGAATCTCTTTTTAACTCAAGCACTGAGATTTCGGTTTGGTTCCTGCATCCTCATTAAAACTTCTCTTGCAGCAAGATGTTGATTTTTTATTTTTCTGGGGGAAAAAGGGCAAGTTTTCCTGCTATGGATATGTTTCTCCTCATGGTGGGAATCAGTTGGATGAGGAACACAGGCTTGGAAGGTGTTAACAAGCAGCAGGGTTTTAACCTCAGGTTCAGAAAGCCATCTTCTTGGTTGTTGGAGCAAGCTGCTCTAGTGGAAGGTGTCCCTGCCTGTGGCAGGGGTTGGACCTGGATGAGCTTTAAGGTCCCTTTAACCCAAACCATTCCATGATTCTATTTTATAAGGTGAAAGTGTTTTTCCTCTTTAATTGAATATCAAAACCATCATGGGTTAGCACCACAGTCCCCAGCTGTGCAGGTGCCACCGCAGGGAGAAAAATCCCATTTCCCTTTGCAAAGCATTGGTAAAACCAGTGGAGATATTGAATAGAGATCCCGGGGGAAAATGTGGATTTAATGCAAAGTTTTTGGGGAAAAAAATAGGGTTTGGATGCTCCGTGCAAGTGCCTGTTTTTTCCACTCCCTTTTTGAGTTGGTTTTGCTTGTGTTTTGGGTTGTCTGCCTCTCTTTTCAGCCAGTGCTCTCCCCTGGCAGGTGAACCTCGACCTTACCTCCCTCCTCGACGGTGAGGACAAGAAGTCCAAGAACAAGCGGGGCGTCCTGCCCAAACATGCCACCAACATCATGCGCTCATGGCTCTTCCAGCATCTCATGGTGAGCACCTCAACTGCCAAATCTTTGTGCAAGCTGGGGAACATACAAAGGTGGAAAACCCCAAAATGAGCAAATCAAGGGGGTGAGTTTGTATTTGGAGGCACTAAGTGGCTTCGCTTTTCTTTTGCCAGTATTTGGAGCATGCTGGTTTTCGCTGCAGGTGGTAACAATATGCCCTTAATGCAAGAATAAGCAACCAAAAGGGGCTTTCCATGACTTTTTGCATTGTTTTACAGTTAACATCTCCCAAATACCCTTTTCTATCAAGCTGGAGTGTGAAAGCTGTCCCACAGGTAGGGTTGTGATCAGCAGTCACTTGACATGCAGAATTGCAAACCCATCCCATTTTGGGGGGATGCAAATGTAGGTAGATGGGAGGAACTTGGAGGATACAAGCAAGGGCACTGCTGTCCCATCAGCAGGGCAAGGGTGAAAAGCTTAACCCTAACCCTTTTTCCTGCATAATTTGGCCAAACCCCACTCAGAATCTGATTGCAAAGAGCTTCATGATGGTCTCCAGGAGGGAAGGAAACTCCCAAGGTAGGCAGCAACACAGAAAATAACAACTCCAAGCAACCTGTTGAAAACATGACCCAGGGCATAGAGCAGCAACTGGATGGGACTTTCCAGCCTGGTTTTTTAAAACGGGAAATGTTGGATTTATTGCATTCAGGACAAGAGCATCGCTGTATTGGGCCCACTGAAGGTTGCCGGTTTGCTTACAGGGATGTCATTTTGCTGCCCATCTCTCTTTTTTTTTCTAGCACCCCTACCCCACAGAGGACGAGAAGAGGCAAATTGCTGCTCAAACCAACCTGACCCTCTTGCAAGTCAACAACTGGTGAGTGCATCAGTGGCCCATGCAGTCATCTTGCCGGCTTTAGAAATGTTTTTCATGCTGTTTTGGTGCTATATAGTGATTTTCTGGGAGTAACTTGGGTAATCAGGGACCATTTCTAGGGGTTGAGCTGGGGGGTGTTTAATTGGCGGCGTTTCGTTTGCGATGTTTTAGTGCCCTCTGCTGGCAAACCCCATGTGTAGCAGCCTTCAACTCAGCTGGAGAAATTAATGCGATGGTTTGTGTTGGAAGGGATCTTCAAATGTAACGGTTTGTGTTGGAAGGGACCTTCAAAACTCATCGAGTTCCAACCCCCTGCCACGGGCAGGGACACCTTCCACTAGAGCAGGTTGCTCCAAGCTCCTGTGTCCAACCTGGCCTTGAACACTGCCAGGGATGGGGCAGCCACAGCTTCTCTGGGCACCCTGTGCCAGTGTCCCACCAGTCTCATCATCAAACATTCCACAGACAGATAAAATAGGGTAACCCGCCGGCTGTTTGGTTTTATATTGTGATTCACTGAATTGTTATAAAGTCTGTTGTTCTAACTCAGAATTGATGTAACATTACTCCAATGGTCTCTCTTTTCCCCGGAAAGGTTCATCAATGCCCGGCGGCGCATCCTGCAGCCAATGCTTGATGCCAGCAACCCAGACCCTGCCCCCAAAGCAAAGAAAATCAAATCTCAGCATCGGCCCACCCAGCGGTTCTGGCCCAACTCCATCGCTGCTGGGGTCCTGCAGCAGCAGAGTGGCAATGCGGGGACAAATCCTGATGGTAAGGACAAGCCCTGGTGGCCCTTGCTCTTCCTGGATGGGGTGGCCATGTATTCAGTTATGGCCTTAATTGGGAATTAAGGTCTTCTAGAGCCATTTTTATCCCCTGTGGGGAAAAATATGTTGAAGAAGTGGTGAAGGCAAGAAGATCCTTCCAGCGGGCTATCACGAGGGCACTAGAAATGGGGCACTGCCATCTCCTCAGCATAGGAACACTCCTCAATGATCAGCCCCTGTGGGATACACTTGGGATACCTCCTGAGGGGAGAAAGGAAAGGGGAAGATGGGAAGAGGAGAGGAGACAAAATGGAAAAAAGGGTTATAAGATGGCGATGAGAAAACAGATGAGACAAGATAGGAAGGAAGAAGATGAATGTGAACAGAGAACGGATAATGAAACTGAAGAGTAGAGAAGATGGAGACAAGAAGACAGATGAGACAAGATAGGAAGACAGAAGATGGAGGAAAGATGAAGAACAGGTGATGAAGAGGAGCAGAGAAGATGGCAATGAGAAGACAAATGAGACAAGAAGGGAGGAGAAAAGATAAACAGAGAACAGATGATGAAGATGGAGTAGAGAAGATGAAGAGAGGGTAAATGAGTATGGACCAGACAAGATGAGAACAGAGAAGTTGAAGAGAAGGGATGGTGGAAACTGAGAGAAGACAGAGATCTGCCCAACCAATGTGGGCATCTACTTGCTCAAAAATGATCATTTCTTGTTATTTAATGAAGATACATTAAAAACATTGAGGGTTGGACCTTGCGCAGTGACTGGGACATGTGGGACACCCTACAGGGTGCTCTGTCTAGATACAGCTTTCAGCTTGGCTTGTTCTTGGTTCTTGCACTTTGTTGTCATTTTTATATTACTTGGGGAGTCCTTATTTCCATGTATTTGTGTGATTTCAGGCTCGCTCAGCATGGACAACCTGCAGCCCCTCTCCTCAGCGACAGCCACCATGGCCATGCAGCAGGCCATGCTGGCAGCCCATGACGACTCCCTTGATGGCACCGAGGAAGAAGAGGAGGATGAGGAGGATGAGGACGAGATGGAGGAAGAGGAAGAAGAAGAGGAAGAGCTGGAAGAAGAGCCTGGTGGCCTCCCAGCAGCACCGGGCGCTGACCTCGGCTTGGACCGCAGTGACTCCTTGGAATAGCTCCTCCTGCACCATCCCCAAATCATTGACAGCACCAGAAACAAAATTCCCCCAGAAATGCCAAAAAAAACCCCAACCCCTGGCAAGAACAAAAACAAAATTGGTGAGAAAAAAAGCAAATTGGAGGCACTGGTGGCTGCCCTGGCTGCCCACAGGAGCACAGGGACCAGCACGTCAGCGTGTGGATGTGAAGGACACATGTTTACAAGGCACATATTGTGGCCGGATTTATTTTTCTTTTTCAGGCTTTTTTCTTATTTTTCCCTTTTCCCCTTCATTTTTGGTAAGAAAAAGCATTTTTAGGGGATGCTGTTTTCCCCACGCGATGCTCCAATGCTGTTGGGTGACAGTGGGCTTTCACCATGGGCCACTGCGTCCATCACTTGGATTCCTTGGTGCAAAAAAACCCAAATCCCAATAAACAACCCCAGGACTGATGCTTTTTGGGATTTTCCCCCAAAAAGAGGATTCACAGGCGTAAGTATCAGCACACGGGGAGAAAGAAACAGCGAGTGCAAGTTCTGCTTCAGGTTGGATCTGAGGAGGGTTTTGGTGCTCTTGACCCACCAGACTGCCCAAATCTCCCTGTTTTATCCCCAGTGCTGTGGCCGTTTGGTGACTGTGGACACAACTTTCTGGAAAAGGGAGGATATTCCCCCAAATCCTTTTATTTATGTGCTAAAACACCCACTGAATCTGGAGAAGAACCACCCCATTCTCATCCTGAAGGGCTGAGACTGGATGCAGAGTTGGGGCAAAGGCTGCCGGGAATGAGACTTTCCCACTGGCACCGAGGCAGGAAAAAATGGGTTTTCACCCAGAATTGAATGGTGACCCCCGAGAGTCACCAAGACGGAAGGAAACTCAATCATGTTGCTGAAAGATGGTTTCTCCCTGACATTGTCCACCCATGTGGGAAAATGGTGGAGTTTTAGCCCAAACAAGCCACAGGAGAGGGTGGCTCAGCAAAAAAAAAGAAAAAAAAAATCAATGTATTTTGGGTTTCTGTAATTTCATAAAGGATTCATTGTAATTTAGTATTAATTCATGGCCATTTATTATAAAGTGCTACGAGATGAGGTTTTGCAGCTGTATTTTGTTGGCAGCTTCCTCCTGTGGCTGGAAAAGCCCCAAAAGTCCCCTCAAATAAGTGAAACGGCCCCAAAAAGAGTGATGCTCACCCTGAAATGAATATTATTGTTCAAAAAGGAGGGCTTCTCCCCCAAAATGAATGATGCTTATCTCAAAATGAGTAATTCTGACCCTAAAATGGGTGATGCTTATCCCAAAATGATTTTTTTTGTCCAAAAATGAGGAATCCCCCCCCAAATGAGTGATGCTTATTTCAGAATGTTATGATTTCCAAAAATGAGTGATGCTCCACAAAAAGAAATGATGGTACGCAAACGGGGCAACGCATCCCCAAAATGAGTGATTCTCCTCCAAAATGAGTGATGCTCACACTGAAATATCTTTTCCAAAAAGGAGGGATTCTCCCCCAGAATGAGTGATGCTCCCCCAAAAGGAGTGACCCTCCCCAAAACAGGTAATGCTGCCCCCAAATCTGTTATTGTCCCTAAAAATGAGGGAAGGTCCCCCAAATTAAGTGTTTCCCCCCAAAAAAGTACTATTTCCCCAAATGAACTACATTCCTCCAAAATTGATTTTTTTTGAGCAGTGCCCCCAAAATGATTGATCTTCATGAAAGCACCATGCTCCCATAAATGTTTCCCCCCAATGAGCAATTCTCACCCCAAATGAGCAACAGTCCCCCAAAGTGATTTCCCTCCAAAACGCCTGAATTTGTCCCCAAAAAGGATTACCCTCTCCAAAAATGAGCAAAGCTCCCCTAATGAGTGACAAACCCCCAGACTGAGCAATTATCCCCCCCTCCCCCCATGGAAGCCCCCTCATTCCTTAAGGAGCCACTGCTAATTAACCGGTTGATTTTTCTGGGAATAAAAATGGCAATTTTGGTACAATTTAGGGCTGGAAGTTAAAAATGGGTAAAAAAATCCCCTCAAAATGGGATTTTGAGGGGAATTTTGCCCCTCAGATCACTGTTGCTGCTGGCTCTGAGCCCCCAGCATCTCATTAGCCAGAAATTTGCATATCTTATAATATCCTGAATATTCATGAGCACTGCAGCAAAGCCCTCGTTGGTCTTTTTCCACCCCCAAAAAGGGCTTTTTTTCCCCCCATCAAAAAGCAGCAGAACGATGTCCCGAGCAGGGGGATGGAGACACCGGAGGCCGGGTGCTTAATTAATGAAACGAATTATTTATTTCCCAGTTGTGCAAAGGTGGGGGCAGTGCAGGGGTGGGGGGGTGGGGGCCGCAGGTGACCCGTTTTCCTCGGGTTTAGCCCCATTGTCAGGGGGTGCCGGGGTTGAGGGGGCTCAAGGGCAGCACGGCATCAGGTTGGGCAGAGCACTGCAACGAGAGATGCACACACAGGGGCTGCACAGGAGCTGCATGAAGGCTGCAGGGGGAGTGCACAGGAGATGGAGGAGGCGAGCAGATACCTTTGAGGATGTAATCCGTGAGCAGTGTGGGCACCTTCTCATTCCCTTCCTTCATGGCAAACAGGACTGTGAGCAGGAACAGAGCTGTGAGCCCATCCCCACTGCCCCCAAACCTCCATTTTCTCCCTCAAACCAGCCCCAAAGTCACCACAGAGACACCTGCAGAGTTTCATTGCTGCACTGCAACGATGCACCCATATCGCAGCCACTGCAGTGATGCAGAGTGGTGCTTCTCAAATCCACCACACTGTGCTGATGCTAAATCATAGAATCCCAGACTGGTTTGGGATCTAAAGGAACGGATCTAAAAGCTCATCCAGTTCCAACCCCCTGCCATGGACAGAGACACCTTCCACTTGTCCTATCACTACCATCCCTGATGAAGAGTCCCTCTCCAGCATCCTTGTAGCTCCTTTAGGCACTGGGAGCTGCTCTAAGGTCTCCCTGGAGCCTTCTCTTGTCCAGGCTGAACAGCCCCAACTTTCTCAGCCTGTCTCCATATGGGATGTGCTCTAGCACCGATTCTGCCCCAAAACAGAAGCTTGGAAAAATACTCACTGTTAGTGAGCATCTGCAGGTCCTCGACAGAGGGTGGCGACCCCTTCTTCTCATAGGGAATCACTGTGTTCAGGTACTGGAAAGACAACACCCAAACACACCAAAAAGCACCAGGTGGCACAAAACCGCCTGGTTTTCACACCACCTTGGGACAAATGGCCCCAAACTGGTGCTCAAGCACATTGTGCTGCAATTGTCCTGTGACTGTGTTTGATGGGCAGGAATTTTGGGGAGTACTGAATGGATTTCATGCTGCAGAACCTGCCCAAATGCAAACTCCTGCTCTGGGAGGATTTCTTGTGAGGTGATGCGGGGAATGGGGGTGTGTATGGAAGGGGGGCAGATACAGGCAATTTTGAGGGGGGAAAGGGCACCTGTTTCTCATTGGCGGTGGGGCCAAAGGTCTGGCGCAGGCTGGAGTGCAGGATGCTGGAGATGCCCTCCATGCTGAAGCGCTGGGGACACATGTGTCACCCCGTCACCTCCCGGGGACACGGACATTACCCATTGCACCCCCCTTCACACCAGCTTCCCCCCAGCTCCTGACTCCCACCTGCAGCCCCCATTCCCTGTCCCCATCTCCTTCTGTCCCCATGTCCTCCCCATCCGTCTAACTCTGCCCATGTCCCTTTGCCTCATCCCCCCTCTTCTCCACATCACCCCATCCTGTGTCCCTGTCACATCCCTCCGTCCCTCATTCCCTGCCTCATGTCTCCCTCTCCCATGTCCCTCTGCCCTATCCCATCACCCATTCCCTGTCCCATGTCTCCCCATCCTCAACCCCTGCCCCATCCCCTGTCCCTGCATCCTTTCATCCCACGCCCCTTCATCCTTCAACCCCCCCAAGCCCATCTCGCCCTGCCCCATCCCCTGTGCCCACATCCCCATGCCTCCCTCCCTCCATCTCCCCTCCCATCATCCCAAATCCCCCCCCCATCCCCTGTCCCCACGGCCGCAGCATCCCCACCTTCCGGGGCATGTTGTTCCCACGCTCGGGACGCCCTCCCTGCAGGCTCAGGCCCCTGTCGCGCCGGCGGCGGCGGGCAGCCTCACGCTGCTCTCGCTGCTCGCCCTGCACGGCCAGCAGCGCCCCGATGAACGCCGTCTTCACCTCCTTCTCGAAGGCCAGCTCATCCCGACGTGCCAGCTGGGCCACCAGCTCTGCCGACAGCGCCCGGCTCGCTGCCTCTGCCCGCCCCGCCGCAGCCACCAGCTCCCGTGCCGACAGCCGGCCCAGCACTGCCAACAGGGAGGTTAATGGGGTGCCCAGTGCAATTGGTGAAACACTTGGGGGTGCAACTGCAATGCACAGTGCAATAAACCACAGAATCATGGAACGATTTGGGATGGAAAAGACCTTCAAAGCTCATCCAGCTCCAACCCCCTGCCACGGGCAGGGACATCCTTCCACTAGAGCAGGGTGCTCCAAGCCCTATCCAACCTGGCCTTGAACACTGCCAGGGATGGGGCAGCCACAACTATTCCTGAAGCAAATACCAGTCACATGCCTCATGCAGTGATGAGCATGGTGCAATTAGGGAATTACACACTGAAGTGCGCAAAATGCTTCGTGCAGCTAGTCCTGCTCTCGAGATGCGCAGGGTGACCAATGCCACTGGTGAGGCACCAGTGCAGCCAGTGCTTCACCTTCTGCCAACAGCCCCCTTCTGGCCAAACAGTGTGTCAGCCCTGGAGCGAGCCAGCCCTGAAGCCTGGAGAGGCTCAGTTGTTCAATTTGTTGGAAATTACCCCCAAAAAGTGACTGGCCAGGGTTTTGCTGGCCTTACCTTCGTGAGAGCAGTTGTTGTTGAAGGCAGGGGAGAAAGCATGCAGCTCCCGCAGAACGATGGGCTCCGTGCTCCCACCACTGCCTTTGCCTTTAGCATCAGACTCAGTTTCCTCTTCCTCTTCCTCATCCTCCTCTTCCTCCTCCCCCTCAGGATCAGCCTCGGGGTCAGGTGAACTCTGCATCAGCTCTTCCAGCTCCTCGATGACCTTCAGGGCATCAGTGTCCTCCATTCGCACCTGCATTCTACCTCCATCCTGCACCTACACCTTGCAGCCCACAGCTACATCCTGCACCTGTGTCCTGCACCCACATCTCCAACCTGCTCCCTTCATCCTACACCTGCATCCTCCATCTTTACCAGCATCCCTCATCCTCCATCTGTATCCTCCATCTGCATCCTGCACCTGCATTTGCATCCCTCTGTACCCTGCACTCTCCATTTGCATCCCTCTGTACCCTGCACCCTCCATTTGCATCCTCATCTGCATCCCACATTCCCATTCCCAGCCACAGCCCACAGCTACAGCCTCTCACGTGCACTCACACCCTGGCCCTGCACCTACATCTAACTCTGCAACCCATACCTGCATCTGCATCTCTCCAACCTGCCTCCTCCACCTGCATCTGGTACCTACACTGTGCATCAGACATCCACACCCTGCCTCTGCACCAGCATCCTGTAGCTGCATCTGACCTCTGCACCCCATTTTTGTACTTCATCCCACGCCACCCATTTGCACCCCCACCCCCTGTTCCCATCTGCACCCAAATCCCACATCAGCACCCACAGCCTACGCCTCCAGCTACATTCAGACCTGCATTCCATGCTCTGCATCCCGAAATAATTGTATTTGGCCTTTTTTTTTTTGCACTGCCATGGGGCTGGGGTGGGCTGGGGGCTCGAGCCTGGCTTTTGGGAAACACCCATGGGAACCAGGGGTACCTGCTCAGCTGTCAGCAGCGGCTCCTCGTTGATGCCCGAGTCCTGCTCACTCCTCTCAGTGAGCTCCTCCTCCTCCTCCTCCTTCTCGCAGAGCTGCAGGAGACACAGGCTGGGAGGTCCTGGTGGCGCCGCAGGCCTGGCCCGGCACAGGCATGGCCCCAGCATGGACACAGACATGGCCCTGGCCCTGGCACAGGGAGAGCCACCAGCGAACCACAGCTCAGGGGGACATGCTGCATGGGGGAGACACTGGGTGGAGACATCA